GAACTCAAAGAGATTTGACTAATAATATTCCTAAGACTGCCCTAGCTTTTCTATGAGCCAAGTGAATTCATTCCTTCATTCCTGCACATTTCTTCAGAATCTAATCTGAAATGCAAAGATGAATGCAACATGGTCCCATTGCCTTTAGGACAAGACAGTAATCAAAGACTTTCGTGATGTTCAGCAAGATAGATCAAACAACTGAGTTTTTGAACCTAAATGCCTTTTATTCATGCTGTCATGTGCTTTATTTCAGCACCATCCTTGCCATGGCCTGTGTCCTGTGGCAGTTCTCAACACGATCGTCCCCATCACAATCATGTCATTTGGGCATTTATTATATGATCAGGAACTGAGGTAAGAATTTTACACAATATAAGATAGGTATTATACCCCGGTCACAGATGAGAAAGCAGATGCTTACAGAGACTGATTAATTTATGCACAATGATAGACTCAGTTTGTGTCAGAGCCTCGCCAGCACACCTCTATGACATATCTTACTGATACTCAATAATATTTCATGAGTTCAGCTCAAAACCAACCCACTTATAAGAGCTCCAAAGGTTCACTGTTATCTCTGATATTCAAAATAATACTATTCCCTTGCAAGGTAAAACATATACATGTAAAGGTGTTATCTCCTTGGCCTTTTAAAAATAGTTATTTTGCTGTCTTTGTCCAAATACATAGGAAGAGATTAAATTTGGTTTTAATTTGAGATATGAGCAAAACTTCCTAAAGAGCTTCCATCCAATTCAGCACAATGCCACACTTTTGTTGTGGGGCAAAAACACAGAACCGTGAGGTGACCATGATATGCAGCAATGCTAAATAATCACAACCAACAAATCAAAAATCTTATTAGTCTATGAGACAGTAGTAAATATTTTACGGTAAAAGCAGCTTTAGGAAGTATTTTTCAACCCTAATCCTTACTTTCTCTCAACTACGTGTAATAGAAAACTGCTGATATTGAAAAGGCATGTCTATTTTCTGAGACTGAATATTGTTAACCATTTTAGTAGGAAGAATTTCTTAGGCTTGTTACGTCCTAATGCATTGTATTCTTAAAAAATGGAAAGTGAAACTCAGAGATCATAGACAGTGATAAACTTAAGATGGTGCATATTTTATTAAGAGCTCTATGTATCATATATTTTTGTCAATTAAAAATTAAAAATAAAAAGTTCTGTGGAAACATCTAATTATCTACATTCTCTAGAAAATTTTTTTTGTCCTTCTAAAACAGTAGAAACATTCTTCCTGCTCCGTCCCTGTGCCCTCCCCAACTTCCCCATCCCAGTACTGACGTTAGGCTTATAAAAGGCCAAGAATTCACTTTGGCTTAGTAATCAGTACATCCCTTTCAAAATCTTATCTTCAAAGACAGATTGGTCTTCCACTATCAACCAAGACTGTCTGTACTTACTAGTTCACTTCTACCTGGAAAGTACTTGATATAAGAAAAAAAAGAATTCAAAGTCTTAACTTTGATATTTGAATTTTATAATCATTTGGAATCAGTTTTCTTCCATTCAAATTTGTCTCAGTCAAAAATGTTCAATATCTGTGTGTTTACCTCTTGTTTTTATGATCTGTTTATTTCCAAAACTTAGAGGAGACTCCCAAGTGGAAATGGGGTCAACATAGCTAATTTCTGGCTTGAGTTAAAAAGCAAGACTTCTTAAAGATGCTAATTTTTTTTTCAAAAGACTATTAAGTGACTTTTTGAAAAGCCAAGTCTCAGGCCAGTTGTGGTGGCTCACGCCTGTTATCCCAGCACTTTGGGAGGCTGAGGTGGGCAGATTACCTGAGATCAAGAGTTCGAGACCAGCCTGACCAACTTGGAGAAACCCCACCTCTACTAAAAATTTACAGAATTAGCCAGATGTGGTGGCACATAACTGTAATCCTAGCTACTCGGGAGGCTAAGGCAGGAGAATCACTTGAACCCAGGAGGCAGACGGTGCAGTGAGCCAAGATCACACCACTGTACTGCAGCCTGGGCAACAAGAGTAAAACTTGGTCTCAAAAAGAACAAAAAGAAAAAGCCAAGTCGCAACTTATTTGTAATAGGAAAACACATCATATCTATTAATATTTTGATAGAAACTTATTTTTACCTTGAGAGTAAATATTATGCAAATTAATTCTATTTGCCTATCAAAATAGTTAAGCTCCCCGATGTTATGAATAGGAAAATGAGATGATAAAAAGAAATCCAATGGACAGAAATCCATTGTAAAGGCAACAAAAGTGAAAACTGTAGTAAACTGTAAAAGCAAGACTCTAGTCTAACACTCTTGACTGGTTAAATATGACCTAGAATGAACTGTTCCCCAGATAAACACTTCTATGACTGCGGCAGGAGAGAAAAGATGCACAGCTAATTAAAGGATTTTTTGCTGCTTAAGAAAAGGGCCCAAAGATAATGATAGGTAATTGAGAAAGAAAATAACTGGCCACAAGCAACATCCACAGTAACATAAGAATAAAGATATGTTCACTGTTCTGTTAAAAACATTTAATGCCATAGTAATAAATGACTCCCAGTCCTCTTTGGGGGAACAAAGTCCCCACTCTATTCCCAGGAGTTCGGTCCAGGGGAAGGAAACACACTTGAAACTCTTCCTCCCCACCCACAACAGAAGCACCAGGCAGCAGCCAGGGAACAGGCAAACCAGTCTCTAAAGATAAATAACCTCTCAGAGATGGATATTCATCCAACTACACATAAGAAAGATAAGAGTATTATTAGTTACAGTTCTAAAACCTACTTCGGATTTGTGATAAGAAAAAAAGACTATGTAATTCAAACATTTAAGAAACCTGGTAAGCCTCAAACTAAACTGACATCTAGTCACAAAGCATTCAGAATAACCCTGACTCGGAGGTAGGATTTTTACTAAAACACAGCACAAACTATGCACCTGGTTTCATTGATTTCAATAAATATTCACTCCAAGCAAGGCTCTGTCGCTGATGGTCATATTTTCCCTAGTGCTGTTAACCTGTCATTCTCCTCCAGGCAGGAGAGTACCGCGTTTCAACGAGGCTGTTGTGACCGTTTATCAGAACTCTCAAACAAAAACAGGTTTCCAGTGGTTGAACTTTAAATAGGAAAAATATCTGAGCACAACCTCCACATTTTTCTCACTATCCAGTGGTTTCTAAATCAAAAGTTTAATTATCATTTAAAACGTGGCCTAAATGTCCGCGGCACGGAAGAGCAGCTCAGCAACCATCACTTTCCTATTGACAGTCTCACCGTGCTCTTAGGAGACGCTTTCGCTATTACCATATACACAGACATAGATGTTTTAATCTTCAAGTCCAACGTCACTCCAATTCCAGGAAAAAAAGCACTGAGATGTTAGCACACTGGAGAAGCAACCATTCTACTCCTTCAAACTAAAGTTCCATTTCAGATATTAACTTACAATCTTAAACACACAGAAAGGAGGGCAGACAGGAAAGGGGTAGCAGAAGGCTAACATCCAAGGCTGTCTGGGGTCCCAATAAAGAGGTTGTTCTGTAGCTGTTTGAGAACTTGGCTTTGCAAACTACTTTCTTAGGCCAGAGAAAAACTCTGTAAACTGTTGGAATTTCACCAAAGAATCAATCACGGCAGCCCCTGGGACTAATCTGGTACTGCCGGACGTTCACGCATGGTAGCCCGTATAAACACAGTCTATACAGCATGGTTCAAGCAAGTCTTGGCAAATTTTAACGGTGGAGAGCAAGACTACTTTTATTTTTCTATATTCTTGGGTTAAATGTATTCACTTAAAATAATAAACACTTCTCCAAGATTATTATGGTTAGCTCAGTTTTGAAATACTGGCAAGGTCATTTCAAGAAGAAAAATGGGAAAGGGAGAGGTATCTTTTACACGACATAAAAAATTCACACTTTTCAGTGTTCCGTTGAGTTTTAACAAACGCCTATATAGTGGCCTCACCAGCACAACAATCAGGTTACAAACAGACTCAACTCTTCGAGGATTCTTAAAAGCAAAATTAATTTGTCGGTATACTTTAAAAGTATTTTTGCTTTTGAAACCTCACCTCATTTATTTAGAAAAGCAAAATAACACTGTCTGAGTGATCCCAACGCGTGAATGAATCTGCAACTTAAACACTCTCCTTCCAACACTAACCCGGCGGGGGCGAGCCCCGCAGCTAGGGGCGCGCGTCACTGTCAGCTCCTTTCCCCGAGTGGAGACAGGGGAAAGGCAGAGTTGCATCGCCGGGCTGGAGCCACGAGGAGGAAGAGTTTAACTGCGGAATGACAAACTCTAAGCACGGAATGCCTCTCCCTAGTAGGGCACTGCGCGTGTGGAACACGGCCAGCGTCGCGTGGGAAGAAAGACGACCTATTTCCTACGACCGTCTTTCTAACTGGACGGAGCGGAAGGGAGGCGGGGGCTGGTCCTCGGGCACCCCGGTGGGCATCGAGGACTCGCAGAAAGGAACATAAAACCGCACAGCCTTCCCCGGGCAGCGGGGTGACGGAAGGAAGGAAATGAGAGCGCGACCCGGCCGCACGCAGAGCCGAGCAGACCAGCGCCAGGGGCCCGGGCCCCACCCGAGAGAGGGCGCGAGGGCCGGAGACAGTGGGGCAAGCGCAGGGAGAGCGCTCCCTGCACCTGCCACCACCTCCGGACCTGGTGGCGCGGAGCCCGGGAGCGTGGGCGCCAGAAGGGACCGGCAGCAGCGAGCGCGCGCCTCCCGCCCCGCAGGGCGCCAGGGCAGAGGCCGACCGGCGCCCTCCGACCCCGCAGGGCCCTGCCTACCCCAGCTCCGGGGCTCACACCCGCCCCTTCAAGCCCCGGGCCCGGAGCGGCCGGCAGGGACCCGGGCGGGGGCGCGCGCCGGACTTCGGCAGAGGGGCGCCAGCCAGGGCGGGGGGCGGCCTCGTAACGCTCGGAGAGGCAGCGCGAGTTTCTCTCGCAGCCTCCGGGCCACATGCGCGCAGAGACCGCCGCCAGCACTCACCTGCCCGCTTCCCCTAGCGCAGCGGGAACGACGCACTCCAGCCCGGACACCACCGTCCGCCTCAACCAACCCCCAGGCGGTGGCAGTGGCTGCGGTGGCGGCGGCGACGGCGGCGGCCGGACAGGAGGGGCGGGACGGCAGCCTGAGACGGCCCTGCCGCCGCGGCCCAACCCCGCTCCGCCCGCCCTAGACCCCGCCCCCAGGCCGCCGCCGCAGCCGCTCATTGGTCCGCGCCTCGGACGCATGGGCGCGGCCCCGCCCCGCCGCCAAGCCGGCGTTCCGTTCGGGGTCCTCTCCAGCCAGTGGGCTGACGGCTCCCGGGGGCGAGAGCGGACGGCTCAGCCGCCGCCAACCCCGAGGTCGCAATTGGCTGTGTTCGCCCCCGCCCCAGCTCTGATTGGACGAAGCGCGACCCGGACCCCGCCTACGCTCCCGAGTTCCGTTAGCAGGTTCGGTTGCTCCAGAATCTTTTTCGCCCCGGGGGGCGGAACCGACGGGATGGGCCCTGTGGCTGGCTCCTCCCCCTGCACGCAGCCGCCACTGACCCGCGGGGCGGGCGAGAAAGAATAAGGCGGCCCGTTCCGCTTTCGAGAGCTCTGTTTTCTTCCCATTGGTTGACAGGCATCCTACTCTCTCCGCCTCTCCGGTCGCTTGGTTTTTGTCTCAAGACGCAGCGTGATGACGTATTCCCCGACATTCCACATGCAAAATGGCCGCGGTCGGCAAGGAGAGACGTCGCTAAGGGGCTTGCCTGAAAAGAGGGGTGAGTGACCCACCGACTGCGGGCAGCACCGCCCACCTCCCGCGTATCCAGAGGTCGGAGTAGGTTATGGCCAACCGCCGCCATCCACTGGCGGAGTCTCTCTTTTCGGATTCCGCCTCTCTCCGCTAACCTCTCGTACACATTGAACTTAGCGGGCGGCGCGGGGCTGCGGGACCGGCTTGGAGAGAGGGTCCGAGGCGCCGGGGTGGGGCAGGGAAGCAGGGCGCACCCTAGAACTGGTAGCGGCCCTCGCAGTAGGGGTCAGTCAGAGTTGGACTTTCTAGGGCTTGGGCAAAAGGGACAGGGGTGTCACCCGCGCACAATCTCATAGCTACTGAGTACTCATATTTCCCCGGTTATTTCGCGGCGTATTAGTCCCAACCTTGGGTAGGCCTGAGACTTTTTGGAGATTGTTCCATATCTAGGGTACTCGGACTTTGGAGTCTGAAGAGCCACGTAACGAGGGTGCGACTAGGAATGAGGAAAAGGCACTTCCGCGATTAGATTTCGTTCTTGTGGAGACATCGTCTTTACGGACCCGGTTCTGGTGGTTAATTTGGTTTTTTATGAGAGAAATTGTTATTTAGAAAATTGGACCGTAAGTCTAGAGGTTATCTGACAGCTCCCAAACTATTGTCTGCCAAAGATAGTCTCGGTAATGCTCCCTAAATTTAGATTGCCAGTTAAACGGAGCTTTCGCTAAGTCATCTTAGGTTAGGAACGACTTTTTCTTTTTTTTTTTTTGAGACAGAGTCTGTCTGTTGCCCAGGCTGGAGTGCAGTGGCGCGATCTTGGCTCACTGAAACATCTGCCTCTTGGGTTCAAGCGATTCTCCAGCCTCAGCCTCCCGAGTAGCTGGGATTTCAGGCGTGCGCCACCACGCGGCCAGGCTACTTTTTCTATTTTTAGTAGAGACGGGATGTCACCATATTGGCCAAGCTGGTCTCGAACTCCTGGCCTCAATTGATCCTCCTGCCTCGGCTTCCCAAAGTGCTGGGATCACAGGCGTGAGTCACGGCGCTCGGCCAGGAACGACTGGATAAGAGCATTTCTTAAGGGTAGTCTTTTATATTTTTAAAGGAAAATTGGTGACGTTTGTGTATCTCTATCTAAATCTCTCTTTTCAGATGGCTAGCACAGTGCCTTGCAATTTTAGGTGCCCATTAAAGGCTTGTATGAATGATGTTGCTAGAATGAAAGCGAGGAGCTTTCAGCGCCCAGAACACTGCCTGACGTTTATTAAGCCCTCAGTATTGCTCAGTGAAAGAACCGATGGATGAGAGTAGTGATAGTAGTACTGACAGACATTTGGATTAAAGTTGTGTCGTTAGGATGCTTACCTGTTAAATAATCTTGACGGTGAATGTAGTAATTATCCAAGATCGTTTTATTCAGAGTGACTACCACTGGTGTCTTTGAGGGTTTTTTCCCCCTTTTATCTCATTTCGATTATATTGTGATGCATGCATTATTCATGCTTATTAGTTGATTTCTGGGCAAATTCTGTTTAAATTTGTTCCATTTTGAAACTGTAGTTTGTACTAACAAGGAACAAAAACTATTCGAGTTGTTAATGAGGTTCTTAAATTTTAAATGCTGTTTTTAAAATTGCATGTCATAAAGAAAAATTGGTCATGTCTGTGGCCTATTAAATGAGCTAGTTCATTTCAGGAGATTATATTTTAAAGCAATGACTGCTGAGTGCCTAAAAGGGAGGACAGTGTCTTCTGCTTATTTTGTTTAAAACTGGGTAAGAACAAAAAATATCTAAGGGAATTAAATTCAAGGTAATTGAGATTACAGAGTGATCATATTTTTAAGCTCAAATTGTTTACCAGAGTAATTGCAGATGACATTGTAAAATCATTATTGATAGACTTTGAAAAATCCTAAAAATGCAGTTAATGTTAAAAGACTAGTGTCTGATAAATGTCTCAGTTTTCACCAAGAGCCATTAGATGTCTCTTGGATGCTAGGAACCTATTAATAATCTGTTCTAGAATCTTGTTGGAAGAGCCAACACGTGTATAAGAACTTGGGAAAGGAAAGCTGATTCCCTCAAGCCAGCAGAAAGTTTCAATAAGAAAAGGACAGGTGAGGCCAGAGTTAGTGGCTCATGCTTATTATACCAGCACTCTGGGAGGCCAGAGCTGGAGGATCACTCAAGCTCAGGAGTTCAAGATGATGCCGGGCAACATAGTGAGCCCTCATCACTACCAAAAAAAACAAAAAATTAGCCAGATGTGGTGATGCATGCCTGTAGTAGCTACTCAGGAGACCGAGGCAGGAATCACTTGAGTCTGTGAGAGATCAAAGCTGCACTGAGCTGTGATCGTGTCACTGCCCTCCAGCCTGGGTGACAGAGCAAGACCCTGTCTCAAAAAAAAAAAAAAAAAAAAAGCCAGGTGACACAATTCTGTTTCCTTTTGTTACGGTTTACTAGACTGGTGGTGATTGGGGATTGCTGGACATAAGTTCATTTAAGTTTATTTAGGACACTGAACATAATTCTGTGTCTAGACAGAGCTAAATGTGCATTGGATTAGATGTAAATGGATTTATTATATCCATTCAAATTACCAGACCCAAAATGTTGATTAATGGGTTGATGTAAGTCCGGGGAGATGTCTTTGGAGATATACTACAGGATTCTGGTCTTGCCCTGACCCTGGTTAGCACTTTTCTACTACCAACTTTAAATATGTAAGAAGCATGCTTCTCAAGTTAATAAATGCACTCAAACCGTGCAGTGACCATTAGCCAGCACATTAGATGACACTCGGGAATCAAAGAGTTCTTAAAGGCTGAAATATAATAATAGGCCAGAACTGAGCAGATAAAATTTACTAGGCAAGATTGTCTACAGAAATAATAATTTAAAAATAAATAAGTTTACTTGGCGTGATTAAATTTACACTCAATTTTTCTTGCTTGACAAAAGTGGTTCTAGGATGTAATATTCCACTTACAGAAGCAGAGCAGTGTCTAGATTGAGGGAAGGCAGTATCTTGGTATAAAGTAAGACAAATTGTGACTGCCACTTGTTAGCTGTGAATTAGTCAAGTTGCTTTGTGTCTCTGGCTCCATTTTCTCAGTGATGAATTGTGAATATAAACATAGCTTGCAGACATGCTGCAACACAGCAGACACACAATGGATGTGTTACTGAATGTTAGTTACTGCCCCCCTCCCATGTACTATGCACATATCTGTTTTGATTCCTAATATTTAAGGGGGAAGTGGAAACACTGACAAAAAAATCATGGTGAGGAAAATGGTTAGATTTGTTTACCCTAGAAAAGAGAAGAAAATGTAAAATTGCTTTTACCTATTTGAAAGGCAATCAGTAGATAAGGGAAGTGTATTTTCAAGGCTTAGTTTAGGGACCCTGGTGGAAGTTCGAGAGTTGTTAAAAGGTAGACTTTATTCATAGATTATTTTATGCCATCTGTGTAGCAGATCTAGGGGTTGAGAAGAGTGGATAAAAATCAACATAGGAATACAGGAATTGTGTGAACACCAGTTATTGATACCCAGCAATGGCATAGGTTGTTTTATAAACTAATGAGGTTTCATTGATAAGTGGCCAAATATTACTAAGAGGGGATTTTGATATTGGGTGAGAGAATTGAGTAGTGACATTTACTATTGTTTCCATAATTTTAAATGTTGAGAATATACTTAGTCTTTTATGATTTAAAACGATATTTATGAAGCACATTCCTGAAAGGTGCTGCTAAAACATCCTGACAGGTTGCTTGTTTATGGATTTTCATTTTGTAGAGTTCATAAATCTCAGTCATTTTTACAGTAATCACGAGCTGCTAATGCGAAAATTTATAACTTTAGGGTCTTGTGAAAAAATAATTGAATACGGAACAGATTTATAGAACTGAGGCAAGAACTTTTTCAGGGAGTTGTACGATTTTGAGGACTGTCTCTATTCTGTTTATGTCCATAATATTTTCACTGCATTTCATGAATTTGTTCATTCTGCCTTGGAATCTGCAGGGACCAGGAGTTTGACCTGGTAAAACAGAATTGAATATACTCATGATTTATCCACTTGTAGAGTGAGATTCTTTTCCATTCCAGTTACGCCCCTGCTGGGTTATTTCTAATACTATTCCCCACTCTGTCCCTTTCCCCTCAACAGATATCTTGGCATTCCACTTCCTAGATAATAAGGAATACTATTTTTTTTTATTCTATTAATACTATTGAGATTTTTTAGTTACTTCCTCCCCCTTAACAGATTCTTTGATAATATCTTTCTCAAATTTTTTCTTCCCTTCTCAGGGAAAGAAAGAGCTTTCTTTCTAAGGTTAACTTTTTTACTGTGCTTTTTATTATCCCTTGACCAGTCACCCTCCCTTATTCTGACTCCTCTAGTGATTCCTTTTTCTTTTTTTACTAGCTGCAGACATTTTTCATTCTCCTTTATGCTGAAAAATAAATAAAAACCAAAAGAATAACAAAACCTTCTGCCTGCTATTCCCTGTTACTCTCTTTGAGAACAGATGTCTCAAAAGAATAACCTATTTCCGGCCAAGCGCGGTGGCTCATGCGTATAATCTCAGCTACTCAGGAGGCTGAGGCAGGAGAATCGCTTATACCCAGGAGGTGGAGGTTGCAGTGAGCATCACTGCTCTCCAGCCTGGATGACAGATGGAGATTCTGTCTCAAAAAAGTAAAACATGAATTAGAAAAGAATAACCTATTTCCTAGCCTGTTTATTCTTTATGGTTTCTACACCACCTGCCCTATTGCACTTCTAAAAATGTTATTTTATTTATATGTGTACGTATGTATTTTACTGAAATATCATTCTATACCATACACATCACCCACTTAAACTTTGCAAGTCAGTAGTTTTTAGTATTTTCAAAGCTGTGCAACCATCACAATTTTCAGTGTCTCTAATAAATAGCTAATGACCAATTCAAGTAAACTCTCCTCAGTCCCTCGTCCTTTGACTTTTCTTTAGCATTTGTCACTGT